CACTCTACCATTTGAACATATTCTCCAGCCCTACATTTTGCTGGTTCAGCAATGGAGCCAGACTTTTATGCCCAGACTGGCCTCAAACCATGATTCTCCAGATCTCAGCATTATGAATAGCTGGGAATACAGACGGTGAGGTACTGGCATCCAACCTCAACACATAAAAAAATTAAAAAGACAACCTTCAGAGATTCCTATTATTGGGAGTAAGGACTAGATGAGACATTTCCTATGATTTGTGATTGTCTCATTTTAGTTATTAATGACTTCAGCTTAAAGTCACACTAAAATTCATCTGGTAGAGAAGATAACATATGTGGCTCTAAGCCTAAAAGTAATTTCCTATCTGTAATTTCTTTTTCTTTTTTTTTTTGGGTCCAGTCATGGGGCCTGAACTCTGGGCCTGGGCGCTATCCCTCAGCTCTTCAGCTCAAGGCTAGCGCTCTACCACTTGAGCCACAGCACCACTTCCGGCTTTTTTCTTTTTGCTTATGTGGTGCTGAGGAATCTAACCCAGGGCCTCAGGCATGCAAGGCAAGCGCTCTACCACTAAGCCACCTTCCCAGCTCCCTATCTGTAATTTCATAGCATTTTTTTCACTTAATGTATAACTGACATAATAATATGCAAAGTGTACATTTTCATCAGTTTTGAAAAATATACTCATTTAACCAACAATCTAACCACATACAGAACAATGTTATCACTCCATAAAATCCTGATACTGTTTTCAAGTCAATTGCTCCCCCACTACTTTCTATCCAAGATATATCAATATTCTATATCAAGACTAATTTTGCCTTCTTACTTGATGTTATTTCCAACACATGTTCATATATCTATGTTTTACTTCTTGTATTGCTCTGTGAGGTATTTTTCCACATTAGATATTGTCACAAAATAATCAGTATTTTAATATTTTAACAGGATTGTTTTTCTTATAAAGAAATCCCTGCATTACCTGACTCTAACATATACTAGTTGCACAAAGGTGTTTCATTGTGACATTTCCACTCATGTATAAAATGGATCCTGAGTTACCTGAATCTTTTAAATTAATGGCTATGTACTTTCTTATAGACCAGAAAGTGTTTTAATCTTGAAAAATGTGTCATGAATCAAAAGATGATAACCTTAACAGTACTTTCTGAATTACAGAATCATAAGGAGTCTAAGATTACCATCTTTGAGAAAGAGAACTTCATTGGACGCCAGTGGGAGATCTGTGATGACTACCCTTCTTTGCAAGCCATGGGTTGGTTCAACAATGAAGTTGGTTCCATGAAGATACAATGTGGAGCGTAAGTTGAAAAACAGAGTTCAGGACTGGGAATGTGGCCTAGTGGTAGAGTGCTTGCTCCTAGTATGCATGAAGCCCTGGGTTGGATTCCTCAGTACCACATAAACTGAAAAAGCTAGAAGTGGTGCTCTGGCTCAAGTGGTAGAGTGTTAGCCTTGAGCACCTGAAGCTCAGGGACAGTGCCCAGGCCCTGAGTTCAAGCCCTAGCACTGGCGAAAGAAAGAAAGAAAGAAAAGAAAGAAAGGAAGGAAGGAAGGAAGGGAGGGAAAGGAAGAAAGAAAGAGAAAGAAAGGAAGGAAGGAAGGAAGGAAGAGAAAGGAAGGAAGGAAGGAAACAAAGAAAGAAACAAAAAAAGAAAAAAGGAAGAAAGAAAAAGAAAGAGAAAAGAAAGAACAGAGTTCAAGTACATTTCAAGTTCCTATGGGTGTAAACCTTGTGAATATTAACACATTAAATCATCATAGTATACCAGATCTCAAGCACTGGCATTGTACTGGTTTGCTTATCACATTGTAGTTATTATTTTGAATCTCAAGTTGTGCCAACTAACACTTGTTAGGTTCTTCTCCTAATGGAAGTATTTATGTAGAATAGTTTGCCTTTTCTTTTTTTCACTTTTCTTTTTGGTAGAAATGAGGTTTGAGCTCAGGACCTTGCATTTGTTAGGCATGAACTCTACCACATAACTCATGTTCTTAGGGCTGGGGAGGTGGCTTAGTGGTAGAGTATTTGCCTAGCATTCATGAAGCCCTAGGTTGGATTCCTTAGTACCACATTAACAGAAAAAGCTAAAAGTGGCGCTGTGGTTCGAGCGGTATAGTGCTGGCCTTCAGCAAAAGCAGCTCAGGGACCATGCCCAGGCCCTGAGTTCAAGCCCCAGGACTGGCAAAAAAAAAGCCGGGTGCCGGTGGCTCATGCCTGTAATCCTAGGTATTTAGGAGGCTGAGATCTGAGGATTGCAGTTCAAAGCCAGCCCTAGCAGGACAGTCTGTGAAACTCTTATCTCCAATAAACCACCAGAAAACCGGAAGTGTCACCGTAGTTCAAGTGGTAAAGCTCTGGCCTTGGGCTGAAGAGCTGAGGGACAGTGCTCAGGCCGAGTTCAAGCCCCATGACAAAAAAAAAAAATGTTCCTAGATCTTTTTGCTTTACTTATGTTTCTGACCAAGCAAGCCAGGATTGTGATCCTTTTATCTGTGTAAGCTGTGCTACACTAAGCCCATCTTATTGAGATAGGATCTTGTTTCCTTGAACTTGAGGGCTCTTGACTGGCTTTCTTACTCTACTACTTGAGCCACACTTCCAGTCTGGCATTTGCTAATTTCCTGCCATTGGCTTCAAACTGTGATCCTCCGATCTCAACCTCCTGCATAGTTAGGATTACAGGCATGATCCACTAGTGCCTAGTGGGATCTTCCATCCTCAAATCTGTCTTCTGAGTAACTAGGATTACAGGCAAGAGCCACCAGTGCCTGGTTGGGATCTTTTTTGAAACCCTGTCTTGCCTCAAACCTCACTAATTCACCGTCCAAGTACCTGATAGGCAAGAGCCATCATGTCCAGTCAACAAGGCTAACTAGTTGTAGCCTTATGATGTTCAATATGGCTGTTTTCTAAGCATAAAAGCATGTTAATGAGGCCTAAGTTTTGGGATATTTATCAGGTTCCTAACTAATTTTTTTGTTATGAGCTGTTTTAATAAGCAATGTGCTTTCAATTTTCTAGCTGGGTTTGCTACCAGTATCCTGGATATCGTGGCTATCAGTATATCTTGGAATGTGACCATCATGGAGGAGATTATAAACATTGGAGAGAGTGGGGTTCTCATGCCCAGACTTCCCAGATCCAATCCATTCGCCGTATCCAACAGTAGTGGATTAAAAGCTCCAAGAGAATTCCTTGAGCATGAGACCTTGCTAAGCACTCTGTAGAGTTTTGTTCTGCTCAGGCACTGCTTCCAATGTTAGTTGCTGAAACCCATAATAAATGTCATTTAAAAAAACAAAACTTTGTGGACCGAATTGCACTTGTATGGTAAACATAAACTTCAATAACTCTAATGCCCTCACCTTTTTTTTGGAGATCATGTCTCCAGGCTGGCTGCTGGGAAGTGCACCACTCAGCCAAATTCAAATTGTTTTGTCCTTGCAAGTTACCAGGAGGAAAATTATTCCCCGTCTTCCCCTCCTCCCTTACCCTGGTCGTGGGCCTTTAACTCTGGGTCTGGGTGCTGTCCCTCAGCTCTTCAGCTTAAGGCGAGCTCTCTACCACTTGAGCCACAGCCATTTCCGGGTTTCTGGTGGTTTTATGGAGGTAAGTATCACAGACTTTTCCTGTCTGGGCTGGCTTTGAATCGCAATTCTCAGATCTGTCTCCTTGAGTAGTTGGGATTATAGGAATGAGCCACCAGTGCCCAACTATTTAATTCCCCATCTTTTTATTTTTTTGATCGGTCATGGGGCTTGAACTCTGGGTTTGGGCGCTGTCCTTCAGCTCTTCAGCTCAAGGCGAGCGTTCTTCGGCTTGAGCTACAGCGCCACTTCCGGTTTTCTGGTGGCTTTTTGGAGATAGGAGTCTTGCGGAATTTCCTGCCCGGGCTGGCTTTGAACTTCGATCCTCACATCTCAGCCTCCTGCATAGCTAGGATTACAGGCGTGAGCCACCAGCGCCTGGCTTTATTCCCCATCTTAAAAGTACTCAATCCAAATATTACCAATTTTTTGGTTTGTTTTTTTTCTTGTCAGTCGTGGGGCTTGAACTCTGGGCCTGGGCGCTGTCTTTGCGCTCTTCAGCTCAAGGCGAGTTACTGCTTGAGTTACAGTGCTGCTTCTGGCTTTCTAGTGGGTTATTGGAGGTAAGAGTTTCACGGAGTTTCCTGCTCGGTCTGGCTTTGAACGGTGATCCTCAGATCCCAGCCTCCTGAGTAGCTAGGATTACAGGCGTGAACCACAAGAACCAGGCTCAAATATTACATTTCTATAGTAACCGTTTACGTACCTTTTTGTACAATTCCCTCCTTTGATCTTAGCAGTTATCCCTAACCTTAGCAATTAATGCTAAACAGGAAATTTCAACATGCCTATTGACATACTATTTCCACAAAAGTTGCTTAAATGGTTAGCTCAACTTTGATTTTATATTTTAATTGCAAGAACTTAAGGATTAATATCCTCAAAAAGTCAGACAAGCTGCTCTGATAGCTGTAAGTACTGTAATAGCCTGTATGATAAAAAATAAAAGTGGGGAAGTGGCGCTGTAGCTCAAGTGGTAGAGCGCTCGCCTTGAGTTGAAGAGCTGAGGGACAGCGCCTAGGCCCAGAGTTCAAGCCCCACGACCGACAAAAAAAAAAAAAAAAGTGGGCTGTGTATGTGGTTCAGTGGTAGAACACTTGCCCAGAATGCATGAAGCCTTGGGTGTGATTCCTTAGTACCACATAAACAAAAAAAGCCGGAAGTGGTGCTGTGGCTCAAGTGATAAGAATGCTAGCCTTGAGCAAAGCAGCTCAGGAAGAGTGCCCAAACCCTGAGTTCAAGCCCCCAGGACTAACTAGCACCAAAAAAAACAAAAACAACATAGTACAATTTACATTTAAGTCCTTTGTATATCTGATCCTTTGGAGAAGTCATTATCAATGTCACATTACAACAGTTTTCAGTAAAGACTTAAAGCACACACAAAAAATAACACAAGCACTTCATAAGCTTTAAAAATTTTTTATTCAACAATGTACACTTATTGTCTCTTAATTTGATCTACAAATCTCGTTTTTTTCCTGATAAAATAAGGAAATCTGAGTATGGTTGTAGACTGTAATTTATATATTTAAAACACTGAACATTAAGACATCAATAAAGGAAGATCATGTAGCTGATACTTCCTCATAATCCATGACATCAGAACAGCTATAGCAAATATCTAAGCATTTAGCAAAAGGGCAAATTTCTGGTCACTGTTCTTACATCTAAAAAAGAGCTATCTTTTATTTTATTTTATTTTTTTTTACTGGGCAAAACAACATTAAAAAGTATTTGAGGGGGCAAATGAAAAATAAAACAAACCCTAACTGTAATCCACTAATTATCCTTTCCACAAATTAAGTAGTTAACCCAGCTCCCAAGTGCCTATGCACACAAGACAATTACTTTGCTCCTCCAGAACATTCTAATACTAAACATAAAGTGAACTACTGGCAGATGCTTAATAGTAGCCAAAGCCATTTAAGATAATGCCTTGCTACACTCCTCCATTTCTGCCTTTTAAGGCCTTGCATTCATTATGGGCCACCATTTGAATCTTGACTAGTACAGTTAGATACAGGAGGGTTCCGCCCAATTTTCAAAATCAACATATATCAAGAGCACACTTCATGAGATTAGAAACCATCTTCTATATATAGGAAAAGCTATAAAATGGAAGTTTTATATCTAGGAGCATGGGGAAAATACCATTAGGAAGTCTTCTACTTAAAACTTATTAGCCTCTCTTACAAAGTTCCTAAAGAGATATACTAAGTATCTTTTAAAACATGATTTGACAAGACCTGGCCAATACATCTACACAACCTTGTAAGTACACATACATGTGAAGTAAAGCTATTTAGTACATGCAAACTGTAGCAACTGAACCAAATATGCCCAATTACTAAATTTTTTCTAATCACTTTGGGCAAATTTTTAATAAAATACACATTATCTTTAAAACAATCTGTGCTTTGATTTTTAACCAACTGAATGATACTGATATCAACATTCAGCAATTGAAAATTCATGCTTAAAAAAAAAAAGGTTGGCCTACCTTTTAAACTAGCTTTAAGACATACAAAATGTCACAAAGCTCCATGTGGCAAAGGTCTTTCCTTCATTTGTTTGAATTACTATTTTTCATAAAAGGAAAAAAAAAACTCAGGAAGAACATCCAATGGTTTGTAAAGCTGATAAAACTGCCCTGTTTCAAGAAAAGCCCTTAAAGAGATACAAGTCAAGCTCATTTAAACTGAACTTTTATTAAAATAGGTGCCAGTTTCCCTCTCTTCTAGTTCCACTGATGAGCTAGCCCAGAACTATAACTTTGAGCCATGTTTCTGAAGATGGTAAAGCTAAAAACAGTAAAAATAATGATAGGTCACTTTTGGTAATGACACACGAATTAAACTTTCAAAATATGTGCATAGCTTTATTCGTCTACTTAGATCTAACCTCTTCACGGAGCTTCAGCGAAAGTGTGCAAAATGCATTTCTAAAACGTAATGCAAGCAAAGCTTTTCACATTTACACTGGCAGGAAATACAGAAAAACTAACAAGTCACATTAGGGAGAATTCAGATTTTTTTCCTTTAATGACAAAATTGCACAGTTTATTATTTGAGACAATTGTTGCAGACATAAATATTTAAAAATTTCTAAGCAAGGTGCTTTAACAATAAAAAATTTTAAGTTAGAAAGAGCCAATAACTTGGATCAAAGCTCATACAGAATCCCAAATTAACATGGACTCCATCATCTCCCTAAATTTTGCAAACGCTTTTAATAACACTTTTTATAACACTAAAGGAGACAGCAAGCTGAAACTTTTTCAAAGCACACAAGAAATGGTGTTATCACATTATTTGAAGGTGCTGGGGGCGGGGGGGGAAAACGGGAAAGGGAGTGAAGAATTCTTTTTACTACTTCTCACTACAGAACAGCCACTAACAAGACTAAAAACAAAACAAAACAAAAAAACCCGAAAGTCAGTCACTTCCCTAGTTTGTAAAATAGTTCCAGTTTGAGAAGATCTGTAACTTTTGAACAGAGCACCAGTAGCGCAACAGAATGAGCTTTCCATACTGCATAAAAATTCGTGAGGTGGTAAGAACCATCAACTATTTCAGGCATTACTACATGGCCTTTCAATTTTTTTTCAATATACATGCAAGGCACATTGATATAAAAATAGATCTCTGGCCAACAAATATATTAAATAAGCAAATTAAAATTTTGGCTCTGCAATATTGGCAACATCAAAATATAACCAGATAACTTTGGACCACAAATCTTTCATATTCCTCCACCTCATCTGGTGTTCTCTCATTATTGTTCTCCTATTATTTTGGGTTCCATCTCCTTCACGTTTGGGTATGTGCTTGAGAAATGACTTTTTCTTTTGTCAAGTAGCATTCTTAACATACTTAAGTTTATCACATTAAGTAAAAAATGCTAGAGAAGTAAAACATTTTGAAACTTTTGAGTGTATGTAACTGGTACAGAACAGTATTAATTCTTCCTGCACACAAAACCTCCAGCTAATGTAAGTTAAATTGTCAATTGTTTTCTAAAAGATCAATAACAAGTCAATGATACTATTTTCTTTAGGTCATTCTTTCCAATTCTTTTTGAGAGGCAGAGAGGGAGTAATAGAAACAAAGCTAAGATTTAAAGTATTTTCAGTAGTAGAAGACATTTTAAGGCCAAAAAATGTGTTAAACAGAATTTTTATTTTCCCAAGTTATTGTCCTTCATAGACCAATACCAACGATGATTAGTTACTTGTACTAATTTCCTCCCAAAGGGCATTATAAACTTCATTCACTTTTGTTAGTGGCTGTGCTACAGAAAATGTATCAAAGCAAACTATGGTATATGTAATGTATACAGTAATGTAAAAAGTGCATCACATTCTTGATTTTCAGTTCTCATAGCAGCAGCAGGCTTAATCTAAGACAGAAAACAGTTGTTTTCATTCTAAAAATGCAACAACACCTAATGAAATGATTCAAGATCTTGAAAAGGATCCTCCTCTATAAAGGATAAATGACAACAGAATAATAAACAAGGGCAAACTAAAAGCATTCAATCATATTTACATATTAAAACCACTTAACACCAGATCTTTACATCTAGCAAAAGAAATATATTTTAATAAAGCAGACTCTACTAAAGCAGTTATCCCTTTTATGAGCCTTTGTTTAGCACCTGAGGAAAAAAAGGGCTTATGGTAAACTATGTAATTTACCTCAAAAATTGGTTTGTTGATCTGTAGAGTACAATTTTAATAAACTTAAAGCAAAAACTGAACTAAAAAACCCCCAAAGCTATAGCTATTAAGGCTGTAGAAAAGGGATACTGCAGAATTATAAAATGGCTTTAGAACTGACATAACAAAATTTTATGAGTAGGGAAGTCTGACTTAGCAATCACATCATGTATAGATTAGCTGTTCATTTCCAGCCTTTAACTGCTATTGGACATCCCAATGTAAAAGCAATATAACCTTGACTCACTGGATGTTGATTACAGATGCTGGCATTCTTTAATTTAAAGCTGGCATTCTTTAACTACTTTAAGACCTTTCTTGAGCAGCAAAATAGTGTGAAATTTAACTCAGTAAAGCAGTGTTTTTGATCGGAGTCGACAGATTTATCATTCTTTAAACCAACTCAGGGTAGTCCTAGTTTTCATATACCTTAATAGCTTTTGGTTAGAAAAATTTTAAGATACCCAGAAGTCCAACTTTTTCACCATGAAATAATCCTGATGCTTTGTCATTAAAAATAACATTGATTTTAAGAAGTTAATCTATGTGGCTCTGACAAATTTAAAGCAGTACTTATGCTTCAACCTCATCCTCTGCCCTTTCAAAACATTAACTATTTTGAAAGGGAGATAAGCAAATCCTAACCTCTTTCCTTCAAAAGTCTTTAATTATGGTAGGACTAATACACAACATCCTATCAGTTTACCTTGATGTATGTGGTATCAACATGCCTTATCATAGAAACTATTGTCCAGCGTATAAATTTTCACCCCACAACAGTGTTATCAGTTCTCCATGGGTAGCTATTAAGAAGGCTCAGGTATTGAGTATACATATCCAAGGGCTTAACTATACCCAAAATCCTTGGAAATTTGACTTTTAATCAACTTCTCTGAAGAAAGTCTTGCAAGAATGATTCTTATTTGATGAAATTTAAAACTGAGTAAAGTCCTTTTTAGTTTCCTTGCCTGTGGCCATTTGGTATATAACATACAATGTCACACTAAATGGCTTTTTCTGTTTAAAGTTTACCATTACAAAAGAAAAATTAGAAGCAGAGTGTTGAAAGCGATTACCTAAATCCCAGCACTCAGGCATTCAAGGTCAGCCTGAGATATACTGACTCTGTCCCCCCAAAAAGTTAGTCATTAGATGCCTCTGATATGGATTAGCAAGTTTAAACAGCCAAGTATGAAATAACTGCTGCTATGTCATAACTTGTGAAGCATATTTTTATATTGTGGACAACTCCCATAGTTGCAGTTTACTTTCCTAAAATTTGTTATTTGAAAAAACAATGCAGCACTTTTCCTTTTATAAGCTTTTTGCAGATTGATGACTAGGTAAGCAGATGTTTAGGACAGCAAAATTCTAAAATGGAAATTCTCTTAACCTCTATTTAAAAACCAAAATAAGCTATCATTTCTTGTCTATCCTCTCAGAAAGTAGAGAAAGGCTATTAGAGATGTTGTAAATATACTTTATGTGAAGAAGAGGGAAAGACTGCAATTAACTTCAGCAAGGGGGGAGGGTAGTGAATAAAGAGAAAGATAAATACACCCTGTCTTTTGTAGGGAAAGGAGATTCAAGACATCTACACAAAAGTGAGTGGTATGTGACACAAAAGCCTACAATCTTAAGACAAATTTAAAAAGAAATCTTCACCCATAATTAGTATCTTCATAGCTATTAAAAAAATAGGTCACAATTTAATTCTTTAGTGCCATTTTTCAAATACTACCCCCTTTTAAGTATTTAAACCAACTGACTTTATTCTTGTAATGAAAACAAATGGCACAAAATAAATACAAGTTTCATTCTCTGAATACTAATGTCTTACACATTCATTTACTAATTCTTTATCTCCATTTGTCACACATACACACACACACACACACACACACACACACACACCTGTTTCAGTCTTTTTAATAGAGGGATGTTAAAAACGCCCTCTAGACTGTATTTGGTTTATGCTACAGTACTAATACTCTGAGTTGAAGGAAAATTCTTTATACCAACAATTACATATTGTTATTTAAATGTGCTAAATTAATCACAGCTGAAGTTTAAAAAGCTTACACAAAAATAATCAGAAAAACAGATCAACTCTTAAGATTTTTTTTTTAATAAGTGCTCTGTAAGGAATTGTGTGAGGACCTAAGGAGAAAGATTGCAACAAGTAGAGTTAAGTATAACCAAACAGCACAAAGGAGATTTGTCCCAAAGTCCTGCTTGTACCTAGGCAATTAAGTCCATTAAATCCAATGCCCCCAAAATACTGACAGTTAATATGATGGGGCACAAGGATTCCCAGAAAGTTAAGAAGCATTTCTAACTACTGTACACTTCTAACCATATCAAGAAAAATTCAGTGAAGAAATCAAAGTGAAATGTTGCATTGTTTCGTGTAGAAGTGAGACTCAAATATCCTTTGGACAAACAGAGAAGGAATACATTCTCATTTAGGCTTCTCTGAACAAAAGAGTCCTGAGGGATATGGAAAGGGAAGTAAGAAAGTGAAAGCTTTCTAAAGGTATGTAAATTAACTGTTGCTTCTAAGATAAAAGCCCAATTTGGGGGAGGTTTTTTTTTTTTTTTTTTTGGATATATGTTCACTCACCTCCATTATGTCACAAACCCAGAAAGTTTCTTGTGAGTTGTGAGACAGAACTTTGAAGTTTCAGGCAAGCAAAATGGACACCGAAAAAGGGGGAAAGGGTAGGGATCTGGCCCTAAGGCGACAAGTGGTTACACAAGGCAATTGAACACACAGAAGAACTTTAAAACCTGTAAAACAAACTGGAGCCTTTTTTTCCTCTTTTAATCAAGATTATTATCTTTTTTTAAATTTTTTTTGAAATTTTTTATTAAAAAAAAAAACACAAAACACAGACTTAATTCCACTTCAGTATGTGGTATGTTGCATTTTCCAGTTTGTTCAATGCTTTAAAGCTCAAGGATGCCTCTGCTTTCAATTGTACATGGGCCTGAAGCATCCTAGCTTTTGGCAAGCAGGCAGGAGACTCAACAAAAATCAAAATAGGAACAAGGCAGACTAAATGCAGGGCACATCTGTAAACATATTATACATTGAAAAATTACAATATATCAGTAAAAGTGATACAGTTTACAGGTGAAATGAAAACTATCTGAAACTGGCCTACCACAAGTTTCTGAACCTGGACTGATACAATAAGTTATATATATATATATTATGTATAAAAAGTTTTGTTTACATCAAGTGGAATTGGCAATCCATGCTTATACTTTTTTTAAATCTAAGCAGGGCAGGAATCCAGACTAAAAAGATATTTTCTCTATGTTCAGCCCAACAACTTCTTTTGTAAATTACTTGTTAAAACTCTCAATCAACAAGAAAACTCATCCATGCTACAGTCGCTCAAAAACTAGACATTTCTTAAGCAAAATGATAGAGCAAAAAGTAGTTACTTTCTCTCCAAATATCAAGGGATCCAGTCTATTTTTATTAGAAGACTACAACTCTCTTTATATAAATGCCCTGCTATTTTACCAGTATTTGACATACATGGATATACTAATTTCTCTGCATGTATGTGTGTGATGTGATGCTATGTCAGGCCAGAAAACTTGTTATGTCACCAACATCACCCAATCTTAAAATTGGACCCTTAGTTTTTCTGCGCACACACACTCTCTCTTTCTCTCTCTCTCTCTCTCTCTCTCTCACACACACTCACACACAAAATTTATTTTTAGCATGCTATACACAAGCTGCAGTGCAACAGGATGGCAATGTGATGATAAGACAGGGCTAATGCTCTTCTCTGCCCAAAAGAAAATTTCCAAAATTTCACATTATTTTCCTTAAAAACCCATTTTGCTCTAATAATAAAATATATTTATTAAGATATAATTAGAAGCTAATAAGCTTAGAAGTATAATTTGCATGAAAACAGCTTCTATAAGCAGGGTTTATTACCTCCTTACTGGCTAAAAACATGAGAAGTTTTTCTGGGCTCTTTTCCTCTCCTTTTAGATTTTGCTCAGAAATTAAAGAGAATTTAAAGAAATGTACACAAATTTCTTAGATATTTGATGAAAAACAAGAAACTGCACATTTAGTGTTAAGAGACAGAGAGCAAGTCTGGAGCACCTACAGTTGAAAAGCAGAATATATTTTTGCTCCCAGTTACACAATTACATTAAAATATGGGCACAGGAATACTTTTTCCATATCTAAGCCAATTGCTTGTTGTGCAACTTTTCTTTAAATGATACTCAATATATTCTTCAGTTGTTACCAAAGTTTAACATGTAACCAAAGCTAGTTAACTATGTATCCATCAACTATTCCAGAATTGTAGATAGAACTTGAAGCCCTCCCCTATCCCACCCCCCCAAAAAAAAAGAAAAGAAAAGATAATATTTCCCCAACACCCCACAGAGGCTGCTTAACTTCTGGCAAGACATGCAAATTATATTCGCTAAAAAAAAAAAAAAATACACCCTGCAAACTTCAAGGCATTTATCCAGCATTCTAGCAGGGCTTAAAAGTAAAACCAAAAGATCAGGGAGGAGTAGGGGGAAATGTTGAATCATTCTGGGTTCCCCGTGATTAGTGTATCACTTTAGTCACAGAACAAAGACACAGAGATATTTTAAGTGGATTTGCCTTTCCAGTGGGTCACTTGTTGCCCAAAGTGATGACAGCAGGAACTTTAGAACCACGCTTGTTAAGTCTGTATTCATTAATCACTTGCATTCACACTTAAAAACAAAAACTAACAAAAGGAATTAAAACAAAAAACTATTCAGTACCGGAGATTAAATAACCATGTGTAGTCTCTTGAAATAAATTTGATTCCTTAAGAAGTCTAATTACTTTCAGTTGCCTTTTTTTAAATAACTATATATATATATGTATATATATATATTTGTATATATTATCCTGTGATTCTACTTATGGTTCCTCTGCTGCGTTGAAGATCTAGGAGCATAAAAGCCTTGTGTCCCCCATGAACGGTGGCTCTAATGCTGCAGAAAGGTTACAAATAGGCAGTCTGGTCCTTCATTGATCTGGACTATCCATGGCTTCATTGTAAGTGATTATCCTTTTGGGATCTGGTGAGAAAATTAAAAAAAAAAAATTAAGAATGAGGTCTGGAACACCAAAATGCCATTCATGTAAAAGCAAACACCAATTAATCAATATTTAAATTGTCCTTGTTTTATGTGTTTCTCTTGGTTATGAAAGTATTTAAAAGTGAAACAAGCAAAATATTTAAGTCATAATCAAATACTAAAAGCAACACTTAGATTTACATTTTGTTCTCTTTAGCAAATGAAGTCCGTTTTCCTTTTTGGGGAATAGGGTAGAAAAAGTAATGAAGTTAAGACAGAGTTTCACTATGCAGCCCAGGCTGGCTCAACCTCACCATTTTCCTGTTTCAGCTTTCATGTAAGCTAATATTACTATAGTGTCTCCATGCTCAGTTCAAATTAAAATTTGTTATTTTAACTAATATATTCTGTTCAGCAAAGTATATTTAAAGTAAAACCTAGCACCAAACATTTCAAGTTAAACTAGTTTGGCAAAACTACCTATTATATAGTCCCCTAAGTATGACTTGCTTACTCTTTATTTCCCACCAAACTACTACCTCAAGTCTTCATTCTCAACAAAAGTAAAAGTCGGAGCTGGAGATATAGTTTAGAGATAAGAGCATGTGCTTAAATTTAAGAGGCACAGAGTTCAATCCCCACTACAAACAAAAAGAAAACAAATATGGATCTTCTGAGTTCAAAATATAAACTGTGAAAAGTACATTTGGACAAAGAACATGGGGCCACTATAAATTACCATTATTTAGCTAGCTACATTCTTCTTCTGGAAAGACAGTATTTTTATTAGCTTTATTTCTACTAATCCTAAAATCTTTTTACAAGTATATACACTTAACCTGACCTGTGGAATAAAAACACCTTTGTACATCTACTTAATAATAATAAAGCATATATACTGTAGTAAGAAATAGATCAGTAAAATTCAACAGAAAATTGTAAAGGTCTGAAAATTAATATTGAACTCAAGCTCATCCTAGCTTAAGAATTTAGTGTAGCTTGGTGCCCCTGGCTGAAGCCCATAATCCCAACTACTCAGGAGTCTGAGATCTGAAGACAGTGGTTGGAAGCCAGCCGAGGCAGGAAAGTCAATGAGACTTTTGTCTCCAATTAACCACCAAAAAGCCAGAAGTGAGCCAGGTAAGCTGGTGGCTCAAGCCTGTAATCCTACTCAGGAGGCTGAGATCTAAGGATTATGGTTCAAAGCCAGCCCAGTCAGGAAAGTTTCCATGAGGCACTTATCTCCAATGAATCACTAAAAAACACAAGTGGTCCTATGGATCAAGTGGTAAATCACTAACCTTGAGCACAAAGAGGCTCAGGGACAGTGCCCAGGCCCTGAGTTCAAGCCCCACAAATGACCTAAATAAATAAATGCCTGAAGTGGAGCTGTGGTTCAGGTGATAGAACATCATTCTTGAGCAAAAAGCTCAAGGATAGTGCCCAGGCCTTAAGTTCAAGCCTCAGAATTGGCACAATAAAAAAAAATAAATATAAAATCTTCTAGAGTTCAGTATGGAAGTTCAAGGGTCACAACTGGCAACTTGCCATGAAGGTAATATTCATAATAGTTTTCATTCTTAGTGGTATTAGTACAGACATTAGGTATTTCTACTTTTACAGGGTGTAATATCTTTTAGGTTTCCCCCCATGTGTTGATTAAAAAGGTTCATAGGTGCCCGTGGCTCATGCCTACTCTTATCTCCAATAAACCCGAAGTGGTGCTTGTGGTTCAAGTGATTGAGCACTAGCCTTGAGCTGAAGAGCTGAGGGACAGAACCCAGGCCTAGAGTTCAAGTCCTAGGACTGACCTTCCTCCCCCGCCAAAAAAAGGTTCATAGAAAGCATTCAAAATGACTTAAGTTTGTAGCTTAATGACTTAAGCTACAACCATGTTAGACAAAAGACTTGATATTACAAAGTAAGGAGAGCCAAGTGCCAGTGGTTCATCCCTGTAATCCTAGCTACAAGAGGCTGAGATCTGAGGACTGTGGTTTGAAAAGCCAGCCAGGCAGGAAAAGTTGGCAGACTTTTGGTACTCTTCTACAATTAATCATAAAAAAAAAAAAAAGAGCTGGAAGTGGAGCTGAAGCTGAAGTGGCAAAACACTAACCTTGAGCAAAAAGCTCAAGGACAGCACCCAGGCACTGAGTTCAAGCCCAAAAGACTGACACAAAAAGAAAAAGTTGGGCACAGGTAGCTCACTCCTCAGGAGACCAAGACCTGGAGGATAGATATTTGAAGCCAGCTGGGGAATAAAAGTACTCCAGACTGCATCTTGACTTAGTCAGCAAAAAAGACAGCCTGAAAGTATGGCTCCATCTGGTAGAGTAGCACCAACTATAAGATCAATAAGCTAAGGGCTGGGAAGGTAGCTCAGTGGTAGAGCACTTGCCTTGCATGCATGAGGCCCTGGGTTCGATTCCTGAGCATCACATAAGCAAAAAGAAAAAAGCCGGAAGTGGAGCTGTGGCTCAAGTGGTAGAGCGCTAGCCTTGAGCTGAAGAGCTGAGGGACAGCGCCCAGGCCCAGAGTTCAGGCCCCACGACCAGACCCCCCCCAAAAAAATCAATAAGCTCAAGACTCTTTGAGTTCAAGCCCCAGAACAAAGCAAAAATAAAGAGAAAGCAATGTTAAGCAATCAGAAGAACTTATATTTTAGCCCTAGATCTAATTTTATTATATAGTAAGCTCTGTGGGCCTCAATATAACACGTAAAATAATGTCTTGTAGTTCAAATAAAATTCTAATATTCTAGAAATTTCATATTCTTTGAAACCTATTTACAGATGGGTATATGATTTAATTTTATTACACAATTCTACAAATCTGAACCCATCAGTCAGTAACTAGTTATCCAATCAAAATCTGAACTCTATTCATATTCCATACATCACATTTTAATATGAAGGCAAGTGATTAGTATAACTAATTTTAATTTCTTGAAAATTCTAAATAGGAGGTTCAAAAGAGGGAAAATATGCTATTCTTTATATTCCTGAGCATCTTTTCAGAGAACATAGTCTAGAAATGTTTTCTGTAATAGCATATCTTAGGGCTAGAGATGTGGTTCAGGTAGTGGAGCACTTGCCCAATACGCAGAAAAATAGTGCCAAGTTCAATCTGCCCTAGGACTGCAAATAACTAAATAAAATAGCAAATTTTTCTCAAACTGTAAATTTCAATTCTTAGGCTATCACTGGTCAAAGTAGAAAAACATTGTTCCTAGATTACAAATTATATATTCTATCATTGAGCTATATCTTAATCTTCACAATCAGAAGTAGAAAAAATTTATGTTCTTCATTCAGCAGATGAAAAAAGTTCTTTTATCACAGTTTTTTTTTTTTTAAACTTACAATAGTACCCCATCCTTAGCAGTTCTGGTATGGCAGCAGCTAGTGACTTTTGACTAGTTATTAAATTAACACAAAATATAAAGTCTATTTATTAGGTCGCTATTAAACTAAAAATAATGAGTTTTGGTTAGTATTAGCATTTCAAGTAATCTATTCTTACCTTGCTTCTGCAAATTCCAAATAGACTCCATTTCTGCAAAGAAAAAAAAAACACTTTCATATACCAAGTTTCAAAGGAGTCTATGAGGCTATATATTTTCATTTTAAATCTAAAAAGTCTAGATTGATTACTGCTTGGCTTGAGATAGGGTTGGAAAATAGCATAATTCTATGAGGTGCAAACAAAGCACTGAAATTTTCAAGTAATTCTTAAGTGCCATCAAGGGTGTCTTAAGTGTGTTGATTACAAAGTCAATTATCTAAAATTAGCACAATTTTATCTTCCCAAATAACCAATACATGAAGAAATAAGCTATAGAGGGGCGAGGAAGGTGGCTCAGTGGTAGAGTGCTGGCCTTGCAGGCATGAGGCCCTCGGTTTGATTCCTTAGCACCACATAAACAGAAAAAGCAGAAGTGGCCCTGTGGCTCAAGTGGTAGAGCACTAGCCTTGAGCTGAAGAGCTGAGGGACAGCACTTAGGCCCAGAATTTAGGCCCAGGACCAGCAAAGAAAAAAAGAAAAGAGATATAGATCAAATGCTATTTCTTAAAACAGCCTGGTGTTGATTAAATTTACTGTTTCATTAGTTCAAGCACCTAGGAAAGCAAGTAGAACTGACCTCTAAACTATACCTCCACTCTTTATTTCAAACAATAAAGTTAAAAATGTTCATCCATATCCACTTGTTAACGACACTATCCTCATCTGCTCCAGTTTCATCCACATGTCTACCTCCTTACTTTAACATTGCACAGTAAGGAAATATATACATGGCCAAACAGTAGTCAAACTAAGTCTACTTAGCTAGCACACAAAATTTCACAATAGGCATCTTGGTAACAACAGCAAATGGCTATTACACTTCAAAAGCTAAAGAATTGTACCTTGAAAGGAAATAGAGATTAAACAAAACCACTCAGTAAAAGGAAAACTAAGCCATACATTTTTGGGGGTAGGGGTGGGGGTAAGGGCTTGGGCAGTTGTTAGGAAAGCACTCTATTTCACTTAATCCACTCCACAACCCTTTTTGTGTAGGTTAGCACCTAGGCTAGCCTGAGTTGGGACCATATTTGTACTGCCCTAGGCTGGCCTGAATTGGGACCATATTTGTACTGCCCTGCACATAGCTGAGGATGACAAGGGGGCGCCACCATACCCAGTTATAACTTGAAATGGAGTCATGAATTGTCTTTTGTACAGACTGGCCTTTAACCAATATTGCCTCCCAAGTAGCCAAAATTACAAATCTTCAGTCACTGCTCAAGACATACAACTATCATTTTAACAAAAAGACTATTATTCTCTATATAACTCAATCCTATGTAACTGTATAGTCTGATTTATTAGCAATCAAAAACAATTAAATAAAAATAAAATTGGAGCATTAAGATGGCATATAGTTGGACATAGATTGCAATTATGTCATAATATAACCTCTCCAGGAATTGAAAACAAAAAACAAAAAGTATATAATTAAAAATTATAATGTTCTTGTGATGGTACACATCTGTAACCTCAGCTACACAAAGGACGATAAGGATCAGGTCCAAAGCCAATTCAGGGCAAAAACGTAAGACTTTATCCCAAAAATAATTTGGCTTGGCTCAAGTGACAAGACTGCCTGCCTCATAAGTGAGAGACCCTGAGTTCAGACATCAGTATCAACAGAAAATTTTCTTCTCCTGAGAGACCTAAAAAGGGAAAAGAAGCCAGGTGCTGGTGGCTCATGCCTATAATCCTAGCTACTCAGGAGGCTGAAATCTGAGGATCACCGCAAAGCCAGCCCGGGCAGGCAAGTCCGTGAAACTCCAATAAACCACCAGAAAACCGGAAGTGGCGCTGTGGCTCAAGTGGTAGAGCACTGCCCTTGAGCTGAGGAGCTGAGGAACAGTGCCCAGGCCCAGAGTTCAAGCCCCACAACCCACCAAAAAAAGTGAAAAGAACTATCATCAATTTAATCTTTAAGAATATACTCCAAATATTGTTTCTAATTTCATTAGTTTTAGACAGTATTCTAAAGATAAACCTTGTCTTGGTTGATATAACTGAGACAAAAAACCCAAGATATTCATTTTTAAGTTTGCTTACAAGGATAAATCTATACCTAATAATTCAATCTTTCATTTCAGCACACTGAACTTACTATAACAGTTCCCTTTCCCTGTCTTTGCCCTGTTTCTGGAGGGGGAAGGATATTCAGTCACAAGTTATTGTACAAATCATACTACTTTAAAAACGAATGAGCTGGGCTGGGAAGGTGGCTCAGTGGTAGAGCGCTTGCCTTGCATGCATGAGGCCCTGGGTTCGATTCCTCAGCACCACATAAGCAAAAAGCTGGAAG